TATTCTGATTGCTTTCTATTATTTCTGTGAATAAAGTCCCTGGGTGGTGCAAATGGTTAACACACTCGACTGTTAGCTGAAAGGTTGGTGGTTTGTAGTCCACCCAGAGACCCCTCAGAAGAAAGGCCTGGTGATCTACTTCTGAAAAATCAGCCATTGAAAATCCTACAGAGCACAGTTCTACTCTGACATAGTTGAGGTCATGATGAGTCAGAATTGACTCCACGGCAGCCGGGACTGGTAGATTACCGCATATTCAGATTTATCACTATATACAGAGTTTACTTATTAATTGATTACTTGTAGTCCCAACTAGAATGGAAGAGCCACGAAAGCAGTAATTTTTTACTGTTTTGCTCACTACTCTACTTCAGGAAATAAAAGAGTATAAAACCCAACAAACCGATTACCGTCAAGTGGATTCTGACTCACAGCGGCTCTATAGGGCTGAGTAGAACTGCTCCATAGGGTTTCCGAGGAGTAGCTGGTGGATTTGAACTGCCAACTTTTTTGGTTAGCAGCCGAGCTCTAAATCACTGTGCCACCAGGGCTCCACAATATAACCAAGGAATACTTAAAAACTGTTCTTTGTTCTCTAAATAAAGCAGGTCGTGGCGGACAATACTGTTGTTCACCCGTGTCTAGTTTCTCCCGTTCTTGGCATAAGGGAGAATTGATTGTACTTTCCTGGGGCTTTAATGTAAAGTACAGCCATGGGACTTGCTTTGACAAATGATACGTGGGTGGAGGTGGCTATGTGTCATTTCTGGGTAGAAGCTTTTCATTGATGGCGCTTACCCCTCCTCTCTTCCCTTCCAATGGAGATTGGAAGCACACATTGACAGGGAGGCACCACAGTATTAAAGCATTCTGTAATGCTGAGCTGACAGAGGATAGCTTTCCCCCGAGAAACACTTGGAACCACAGTTGACCTTGTATTGGCAATACATAAATTTTTGTTGATTTGGGACTTTTGTGCTATACTCAGATTTGGAAATTGTATGTGCTATAACATCCTAACCTAGTCTATACTGACTAATACATAATGTTGACAAGATTTTCACCTATATTTTGAACAGAAAGTTAAAATGACACAGTATATCTGCAAAATTTTTGTAATAAGGTACTATTTTCATTGGAGACAAAGCTATATATAATCACACAGTTTAAAAATGCAGAGTAAAACCTGTTGCTGTCGAGTCGATTCCGATGCATAGCAACCCCAGAAGACAGAGTAGAGCTGCCCCATAAGGTTTACAAAGAGTGGCTGGTGGATTCAAACTGATGACCTTTAGGTTAGCAGCCGAGCTCTTAACCACTGAGCCACCAGGGCTCCAAAAATGCAGAGCAGTATGTTGGAAAACAAAAACAAAACATGGCGACCCCACCTGTGTCAAAATAGAACTGTGTTCCATGGGGCTTCCAATAGCTGATTTTTCAGAAGTAGATTGCTGGGCCTTTCTTCCGAGGCACCTCTGGGTAGACTCGAATCTCAACCTTTCCATTAGGCAACCAGTGCATTAGCTGTCTGCACCGCCCACGAACTCTTGAGTCGTATGTTACAGCCATCATATTAATGAGTTCAAGGCTCAGCTGCTAATCGAAAGGTTGGCGGTTTAAACCCACTCAGGGAATTTGACTCAAGGGCCCCTAACAACAACAAGGTTCGTTTAAATTAACCTTGATTCTAATGTAAGGATAAAGCTTCAGCAAAGCTGCTTTGGAGATATTTGGTAATAATTCTTTTGAGTTACCACCGTTACTGTTGCTGTTGTCATTGTTAGGTGCTGTCGAGTTGATTTCAACTCACAGTGATGCCATATGACAGAGCTGAACTGCCCCATAGGGTTTCCCAGGCTGTAATCTTTACGGGAGCAGATCAGCAGGTCCTTCTCCCTTGGAGCCTATGGGTGGGCTCAAACCCACCAACCTTTCTGGTTATCAGCCCAGTGCTTAACTGCTGCACCACAAGGGCTCCTTCCATCATCACTGCCTAAGGCTTTTTATCTTTTTCTAGATTCTTGCCCTCCCACAGAGATAGCTTCTCCAATAATCTCTCCAGATTTAGACCATCTTTACTTTGAGGTCAAAGTAAAGTCACTTCTCTTTGGTCATTGGTTCACTGGGCTCTTCTGGGTGATGAAATTTTCCACCAAAGGATAAGAATTCAAAATTGTGAGGCAGATATTTATGGTAAAACTCTGAATCCTTGCTTTTCACACTTTTGGAAGAATTACTGGTGATGTACTAGAGTAACTTGCTGCAGTTGTGTGTGGCCTCCCTTTCTGAAGGAAATTTTATAAACTTAAGTGGGAGGGGAGTGGGGTAGGGCAGATGACTCATCCATCAAATGTAGGTTTATTCAAGTACTGTTATTTGTGATAAAGGAAGCATTGAAGAGACATCATACATGAAGAAAGCAAAAGGTCATTAAAAGGACAGGAAAGAAAGAAAAGACCAAAGTGGATGTCAGAAGAGACTCTGAAACTTGCTCCTGAATGTCGGGTAACCTAAAGCAAATGGAAGAAATAATGAAGTAAAAGAGCTGAACAGAAGATTTCAAAGGGCAGCTTGAGAAGACAAAGTATTATAAGGACATGTGCAAAGACTTGGAGTTAAAAAACCAAAAGGGAAGAACATGCTCGACATTTCTCAAGCTGAAATAACTGAAGAAAAAATTCAAGCCTCAAGTTGCAATATTGAAGGGTTCTATGGGAAAATACTGATGATACAGGAAGTATCAAAAGAAGATGGAAGGAATACACAGAGTCACTATACCAAGAAGAACTGGTCGATGTTCAGCCATTTTAGGAGGTAGCATATGCTCAAGAACCAATGGTACTGAAGGAAGAAGTCCAAGCTACACAGAAGGCATTGGAGAAAAACAAGGCTCCAGGAATTGAAGGAATACCAGTTGAGATATTTCAGCAAACAGGTGCAGTGCTGGAAGGCTCACTTGTCTCTGCCAAGAAATTTGCCAGACAGCTACCTGGCCAACTGACCGGAAGAAATTCATATTCATGCCCATTCCAAAGAAAGTTGATCCAATGGAATTCGGAAATTATCGAACAATATCATTAACATCACACGCAAGTAAAATTTTGCTGAAGATAATTGAAAAACGGTTGCTGCAGTGCATTGACAGGGAACTGCCAGAAATTCAAGCCGGATTCAGAAGAGAACGTGGAGCAAAGGGTATCACTGCTGATGCGAGATGGATCTTGGGTGAAAGCAGACAATACCAGGAAGATGTTTACCTGAGTTTTATTGACTATGCAAAAGCTTTCAACTGTGTGGGTAACAAATTACCGATAACATTGGGAAGAATGAGAATTCCAGAACACTTAATTGTGTGCTTAGGGAAGGCCCTGGGCTTTTTCAAGTCTGTTTTGGAAGAAGTACAGCCAGAATGCTCCTTGGAAGCAAGGATGGCACGACTTCACCTCACGTACCTTGGATGTGTTATCAAGAGGGACCAATTCCTGGAGAAGAACATCACGCTTGGTAAAGTAGGGAGTTACTGAAAAAGAGGAAGACGCTCAATGAAATGGACTGGCACAGTGGCTGCAACAATGGGCTCAAACATAGCAACGATTGTGAGGATGGTGCAGGACAGGGCAGTGTTTCGTTCTGTTGTACACAGGATCGCTATGAGCCAGAACTGATTCAACAGCACCTAACAACAACATCTAGGAATAATATTGGAAGAATTTAAGCTGAGGCATTTCCCAGTACTGCCATTGTTTTCTTTGGTATTTCATTAACACTGTTGGCGGGGAGGTGCTGGGGGCCATGACACAAAATAAAGTGAAGGGAAACAATTTTGATTCCTAGTGGACTTTCTGTATCACCAAATGAGGGCAGCTCACACATTATGCTGGTCAATTCAATTCTACAAATATTTTTTGAGCACCTCGTTAAGTGCTTGCTACACTCACAGGAGTTTACCTTCTGGTTGTGTTGATCAACCTTCTGAGAAAAATGTTAAATTATTTGCCTTCCTCAATTTTTTATATTTATTAAGAAAGAAAACATTTGTACAAATAGTCAAGCTGATGGTGAAGGCCTAAAATGAATAATCTTCGGTTTGCTGGGAAAATTTCATTTAGGTTTATTTTTAAATATTGATTTTTAAACACCTACAAAAATATAACCCATCAGGCCTCAGTTCTATTGACTTGAGCATGATCCCAACTACTGGACTGTCTTGTTATTTGTTTTGCAGGTCAGATATTTAGGGAAAAGACAAGGAAGGCCCTCTTTCCTCTGAAGGCCCCCAGCCCCCTTGGCGCCACATCGGCACTTTACAGAGCAAGAAGAAAGTTTCCCCAGAAGGCTTTCTAAAGAGTATTTCTATTCCAGGTCATGGTAATGACACCACCTTTCCTTCCCAATAGTGGGGGCCCCTGAATTTCTACTCCGGCCGGGCGGTTGATGAGGCCGGCAGCTTCAGCTGGTTGGGAAGGGGGTGCTGGCACCTGAAATGAACTCAGGCAAACGCCCTGTGTCCATCTCAGGAAACGGACGCGGGGGAGAACTCAAACCCCCAAGCCATCCCGAGGCTTGTACTGTAGCCAGGACGACAACAAGGATGACTCGAGGAGGGTACCGGCCTCAGGTTAGAGTTGAGCCGGCGTCTGGGCAAGAGGCACGAGTTGAATCAGCCATTTGTAGAGTCTGTTCCCAGGTACTCCGAGAGAAAGGGTGAAAAAGCATTCAAGAAGGAGTAAGATCTTGACCTCGCGGAGAAACAGCCCCCCAACCCCTGCCCAAGGGTTCCCACGGAGAGGTCGCCGTCACCTTTCTCCAGACTGGGCTGAACCTACAAGCATCACCTCCCAGATCTAAAACCAACCAACCAGATGACACCCTAAAACCTCCCCAAACACACTCTCCCCATCGCGTTCCAAAGGCAAACATCGAAGGCCAAAAGAGGCTGCACAAGTCACGTAGAAAATTAGGCTGCCCCTTTCCATGGCGATAATCGAATTAGCCTCAAATTAAACGTGAAATTGGCCCTCGCCGGCTGTGGAGACAAAGCCCCCATTGTCCCTTTGCTCGGGTAGCGGCGGCGGCGGTGCCCACCCCGCCCAGGCCAGCCGGGGCCAGTCCCCATGGCTAGGGGCGAGGGCGGGCTGGGCCGGGAAGAGCCACGGCTTGGGAGAGCGCGGACGCGCCCCAGGCTCGGCTCTCGCGCCGCGGGGCCCGGGCCGGGGAGGACGCTGCGGGGCTCCGGGCCGGCGCTGGGGGGAGGCTGAGGAGGTCCTGACGGGCGCTGGGGAGGGGAGACTGCGGGGCTCCTGACGGGCGCTGGGGAGGGGAGACTGCGGGGCTCCGGGCGGGCCCTGGGGAGGGGAGACTGCGGGGCTCCGGGCAGGCGCAAGGACGGCGTGAGGGAGAAACTGGGAGTGGCAGGGAGGAGGAAGCGAGCGGCAGGAGAGGAGGATAGAGGGTGTG